AAATGGAGTCATGGCGGCCCCAAAATGGGAGTTCATGGAGATGGACATGGGAATGGGGTCAGGCGGGGTCATGGCTGTCCGGGAACAGGAATTCACGGGGACAGACATGGGAATGGGGTCAGTGGGGTCACGGCTACCCCAAAACAGGAATTCCCAGAGACAAACACCTGAATGGGGTCAGTGGGGTCACGGCTACCCCAAAACAGGAATTCCCAGAGACAAACACCCGAATGGGGTCAGTGGGGTCACAGCTACCCCAGAATGGGAATTCATGGAAATGAATGCAGGAATGGGGTCAGCGGGGTCACGGCTGTCTGGGAACAGGAATTCCCACAGACAAACACGGGAATGGGGTCAGTGGGGTCATGGCTGCCCCAAAATGGGAATTCACAAACACGGGAATGGGGTCAGTGGGATTGCGGCTGCCCCAAAATGGGAGTTCATGGAGATGGAGTTGGGAATGGGGTCAGTGGGGTCATGACTGCCCCGAAACGGGAATTCCCAGAGACAAACACCCGAATGGGGTTAGCAGGGTCACAGCTGCCCCAAAACGGGAATTCACAAACACGGGAATGGGGTCAACGGGGTCACAGCTGCTCCAGGATGGGAATTCTGTCCCTGGCAGGGGTTATTCATGGGGACAGACACGGGAATGGGGTCAGCGGGGTCACGGCTGCCCCAAAATGGGAATTCATGGAGATGGGCACAGGAATGGGGTCAGTGGGGTCACGACTGCACCAAAACAGGAATTCCCAGAGACAAACACCCGAATGGGGTCACTGCGGTCACGACTGCCCCAAAACGGGAATTCACAAACACGGGAATGGGGTCAGTGGGGTCATGGTTGTCTGGGAACAGGAATTCCCAGAGACAAACACCTGAATGGGGTCAGTCGGGTCACAGCTGCTCAGAAATAGGGATATCATCCCTGACAGGGGTTATTCATGGGGACAGACATGGGAATGGGGTCAGTGGGGTCATGGCAGCCCCAAAATGGGAATGCATGGAAATGAACGCAGGAATGGGATCAGTGGGGTCACGGCTGTCTGGGAACAGGGATTCCCAGAGACAAACACCCGAATGGGGTCAGTGGGGTCACGACTGCCCCAAGACAGGAATTCACAAACACGGGAATTGAGTCAGAGGTGTCACAGCTGCCCCAAAATGGGAATTCATGGAAACAGACACAAGAATGGGGTCACTGAGGTCACGACTGCCCCAAAACAGGAATTCCCACAGACAAACACGGGGTCAGTGGTATCCCTGTCCATCTCCCCGCTCACCTCCTGCCTGAAGGCCTTGCGGAAGCCGCTGTGGCTGCTGGGGGCGAAGGCGCGGCCGGGCACGCAGCTGA